TATGATCCTGGATTTCGATGATCAGGATGACCAAAGCTTAGCACAGCAGACCTGCACATGCGGCTCTCTGATTTTGATGCCCAGTGGCCAGTGGCCGCCTGGTTCTTGGGTTCTTGGTGAGGTGTATCGCAACTGCTTTTCTCGCTCGACTCGAGTTGTTGCGAACAATATCGAACAATACAACATGTAGTTGGCCTTATTGGCATCGCCAGGTGCTCAATTTTTTGCTCAGAGCTAACTTCATGTTTCAATTGCATAGTAAAGGATGCTATTTCACCGGTCTTTTTGGTTTTTCCCTCCCCGGGATGTCTTTTTGGTCGTCATGTTTCAATGTCTTTTTGGTTTCCTATCTTCATGTTTTCCCTCCCCGGGATGCGGTGACATTGCCTGAGGATTCACGAGTGCAAGATGATCAGCAGCCCCTAGTGCTCATCCAAGTGGGTATCGTTTAAAGTACGGGCTGAACGCATCTGGAATTCTCTTTTACCTTCTTAGTCAAATACCAAGCATGAGACATGTTTGGTGGTGACAAGGAAACACCAAAACGCGCTGCAACCGTTCGCGATTGAATTGCGATTGAACTGTTGTTCCAGGTGGAAACTGCTGCGCAGATGCTCTATGGGTCCTCCTGACATCTGTTCCTTACACTCTTTGCAGTCTGATGGCGCAGTCGGATGGCGCTCCTCGCGGTTCCTCACCTTGGTTCGGTCGTGTTCTTCCAAGCGGCCCATTCACTCGAGCCCCTGAGTGGCTAAAGCTTTGAAAACCGTTCGGCAGTGGAGGCAGGTGATGCTGCTATCCTCCTTCTAACAATCGAAGTGGATAGCATGGTGGGAAAAGAAAGAGCATTTTCCTCTACAGCCAGTCCACTTGCATGTTTGTTGCAGGGAGGGTAGTCACAATGTCAGAGAGGTCGCCCGTGGCCTTGTTCTCCAGAGTTTTCACCTAGGTCATATTACATATGGATGTCATCAGCGATATCATTCTGATGCCATTCTATATCCCCTGGATTGCCCTAGGCTCTTGTGGTGCCGCCAGGCTGATTCACGCGCGTTTCATCTTGACGAGTCGGGGAATGGCAGCTATGCTGGACAAGTACAACTGCTACGTGGTGCTGGCCAGTTTGTGATGCAGGTATGACTCGTATGACATGACTGATTTCCTCATCAGAACAGCCTAAGGCTTCAGAATGCTTGCTCAAAACACGTTTTCCATTGGTCTTCCTTTGGACTTTTGGATGTCTCCCAGTATGTTCTTTTGGTATTTGCCGTGCGCCCCAGGTGTACGGCAAGTGTCCATTGACGCAGTGTCGGGGGGCCCTTGACGCATGGAAGAGATCCAAACTTCCTACTTCAATCCAGCTTGTTACTAGTAGCTTCTTGTTGCTACTAGCGATGGCCTCGAACCTACTTGCGATGGCCTCCACCTATTTAATAGCGTCCTAAGAAAGCTCATTATATATAAGAGCCACCAGTCTACATAAAGGGAACACACTGCCTTCAGGAGCAGAACATAGACGAACCTGCGTTTCAGCACTTCTGCTACTTTGTGGGACTGTGACCTCTCATGATCTTCCCGACGGATTCGACTTCTCAGTTGTCGAGAAATCCGTCGGACCCACCATGTATTACCCTGAGAAAGACATCCACAATTTACTGAGTAGGCTCAGTCGTTTGTGGGTGCCAGGTGGAGACTGGTTGTCGAAACAGGGAGCTCCTCTGCTACCAAGAGAGTCCCCAAGGGTCGCAGAGGAAGACTACCCTAGACTACAGCCGCTATGGCTTTCCGAAAAGAACTGATCATGTGGTCGGTTTGACCGTCCGATCGAAGCATCTCTGGTTGTTGGAGCCATCCTCTGGCCGGACCGGTCATGGACAGAACATGGACGAAGCCTCCTGAGGCGAAGCCATCAATCAGGCTGTGCTGCCCATCGGTATGTCTGATCTCCTACGGCAGAGTGCGGCCAAGGTGGGTTGGTCAAAGGGACTGTGACATTCACACGCTAGACTTTTGTTGGTAATGTCCTGAACGTCCCATTGGGGAAGAGCATTTTGGAATATTTTGGATGATATCATGACATATCATGACCTTAAGTTGAATCATGTTGTGCATGGATTGGCCGTTGGATGGGGGGTGCCAGGTCAAGGGGGGCGGATTTGATGATTGATGAAGCCGACCTGTAGGTCTACTGCCCACACTGCCGGGAGATCTACTTCCCCAAGTCATCCAAGCTGGAATGCTGGAGCTCAGCAGACAAGAGTTCACGAAGCAGTTGAGAACTTCCCTGTGCACCTGTAATGAGCAGGTTTCCATGGGATGCGATTTCCATCGATTTCCCAAGCATCCATTCACTCACAAGAAAGCCACAACCATGGCCACTGAGGTCTCGATGGTGCCTATTTTGGTACGACCTTCGCACACCTCTTTTTCCTGACATATCAGCAGCTGGTTGGGGCCCAAGATGGATTCTAGCGGAATGGCAGTTCTAGCACAGACTTGCTTGGACTCTTTTTTTTGGGCATGGCTGCTTCCAATCCGTGAAGAACAAAGAATATGTTGCTACTGCGCAGATGGCTACAATTAAGCTTCTTCATTTGACCCAGTTGACGTCCAGCCGGTCTCACAGGTTCCCCCAACCATGCCTGCGCCACATGTGTGGGGCCCTGGTCGCAACGGTGAGGCATTTGGGAACGCGATGGAGACGCATCCACCTTTCACTACGGAAAGTGGTCACGAACATCATTTCTACTCACGTGCCCATATTGGCTCTTCAGCATGCAGAGTTTAAAAAAAAACACTGGCTCAGCTGTCTTGCCGCGTGTGCCGAGTGCCCCCGCATCTATGGCTTCAAGATCCACAAGAGTGTCAAGGAGAACTTGCGCCGGCCTGGTCCCGAGTGCCGTCCGCCCGCTTGTCCACTTCCTCGCCCGCTCGTCCGGACCGTCTGAATGCGGCGAATGCGTTGAGGCTTGGTTCTGATTCATTGGACGGAGGAATACTTACTCTCTCTCCCGGTTCTTTTCATATGGGGACGGTACAGGCCAGGGGAGCCTACCCCAATGACTATGCAAAGTCTCATGGTACCATATCTGTGTTGTGAAGGCTCCTTTTCAAAAACAAGGAGGTGAACAGCAAAAGTAATAATTGGCTAGTACCCCGTGGTTGAGTTTGTTCTGAGTCTCATGGTGTCTCAATAGTACAGGCTTTCCTTTTGTCCACCTGTTTTGGCCCCGCAGACCCATACCGAAGGCCACCCACCGGACTGTCTGCAGGCAGTGCGAGCGTGCACAGAAGCAAGCTCTGCCAATGTTCAGTGGGAAGTCGGCCGCTGGGGCAGCAAGACCAACACACCAGATCAACGACTCGTGAATCCCTGGGCTTTTTTGGGACCAAACGCTACTACTAGGGGCTCCTGGCCTTACTACTAGTAACAAGAAGCTACTAGGGTCATCTAGGGTCTCCTGGCCTCGCTACGAACGGAGCAAGGACGCTTATATAAGGATCATCGGGTGTCCTTCCCCCACTGACGCCGCCTGAGGCGGGCTCCCAGGACCGAACCGCGGAAGGCCGATGGCGAGACCGGTGAAACCCATCACAGATGGCCGGGGGAACCAACCTCCAACCTACTAGCGATGGCCTCCAACCTACTAGCGATGGCCTCCATACTAGCGATGGCCTCCAAGCTAATAGCAAAAGGAAGGTAATAGCAAGGGTTGAGTGCACGGCCAGGGTTTGACGGCCTAAAGCTTGTTGTCACACAAAGCAGTGAATCTATGATCAATGCTATGACCACTGGTATGACCACTTGTAAGTCACCGTGCCCATTGGTATGGACACTTGGGGTGCGATCGTGGACGGATTGCCTTGTCACTGGGGTACCAAAGCTGTAGCTTTTCGCCATTGTCTTTTCATGGCAGGTAGATTCTGATATATCTTTCCTCCAGTGCGCAATTATTTGTAGGATTCCCTCACTTTGCCTAGTCACACAGAGTTCCTGCCTAGTCACATGCGATGCTCCCAAGTCCGAAAGATATCGTCATCAAACATCCAAGCTTGTATACCATCGGCTTATCCGAGAGAATGCTCCTTCTTTTGCACCTGAGTTCAGGGCACCTTAAGAAGCTCTACCCCTGATCTTGACCCCCCCAAAACCTTTGTGCCAACTCGCGTGAACCTCTTGTTTGGGCTTTGACCAGGGGGGTGAAATTGATCTCCGACTGCCAGGTGGAGGGCAAGAGATTGTGGTGGATTAACCAGGCCAAGCACACACTGACACACAGTGACCGCACGCGTCGATACGCACGGATGAAAAGGCATCAGTCGTTTTTTGCTCGGTGGCTTGTGCTAAAGGTTGGCGTCAAAGGTTCAGCACAGATGCACTTGATCTACAATGCGCATGAAGATTTGCTTGAATCTCTTGGCGATTTCTTTGGAGTGATCCTATCCGAATCATCTCGCTTCCTCCTGGAACACCCTTTTGGTATGTGCGAGACACAGGGCTATATATCTGGGGGCGACGATCCGGTCACCAGCACTCCAGAGCGCGGCGAACACCGTCAGGATGGGAGCCTCATCTGTGAGGGGTGCGGGTTGCAGCTTAGCTGACGAAGCTGCCAGGAAGCTGCCAAGAGCTGTCAAAAAGCCTGGGCACCTGGAGCATCATTCATGAAGGGACAGTGAAATTGGGAGCCTCTGAAGTTCTGGAATTGTCCATTTAGGGTGTGGAAGTCCCTGTCACCTCCGCCACCTCCATTCCAGATGTCACTGGTCTCTTCTTTTGGTTTTGGTGCTATTTGGGGATTTCAACGACATCATCTTCTGATGCTACCGGGGCAACTCGGTGCTAGTCTCAGACAGACTTGCATTGAAAGGGGAGGAAAGTGATAAACTGCAGCAAACTGGCTCAACTTGAATGAGTCTAAAGTCAATGAACCAGTGGAGCAGACTACAGGAAGATTTTTCGTTGGTACAGATCCAAGCCAATGAACCGATGACTGCGCCTGACTTGTGATAGACATATGGATACTCTCGCATGTGCAAAGGATCGGTAGCTGGCCCTCATCATCCCGTTTTTTCGATTGGCCGAATGCGTCCACCATGACCTGAGGCCGCGCGGTTGCGGCCGCATGGGTGAGGTAGAAGCCACTCTTGGATACTCTTGGTGGTTATGGCTTTTGTGCATGGTCTCAGTGTTATGCTAGGTTGAGACTAGACTACTAGACTAGTCTCTTCGAAGGTCCTATATAGGACTTGGAACGTCGCTGAAGCCCAACTTCGACCCAACACACGTGCCTCTCTTCTGCATGACACGGCGATGGCGGTGACGGTTTGACGTGGTGCTGAAGTTGCTCGGCATCAAATCACCGGCCACTTCTTCAAATGGTTTGCCCAGAGCACGTCATCCAACTTCAGACCACGTTTCTATCCGAACAGAACAAAGAGGACAAAGGAAGACAAGTAGGAAGACAATGGATGCCAACTCATGCTGAGCTTTCTGTTTGAGACCGGGTCAAGCGGTCAAGCAGAGACCGGTCAGCCCGCTGGGGACCCTGTGAGCCGTCCGGAGCCCCGTGAGCCAGGATGCCCTGGAGATCCTTTGGAATACATGCAACCAATGGCCGTGGCCTTACGTGGCCTTACGGGTGAACAAGTCTTAGAGGATGAAGGTTTCGGCTCTTTGGAACCTCTAAAGGTCTAGCCACAGCTCTGATGGTGACACAGTGATGTTTATATATGTGTGTGACTTACCCGTGTGGGTAGCGAACCTATGCCTCTATGCATGACAAGCAATGTGAACTCAAGCGATGATGAGATGGTATCCTACCCATCCTACCCATTGATGTTCTGCACATCGTCTTGGTTTTTGTCCTGTATTCAAAGACTTTATTAATCGCGATGTTTCTTGCTCTCCAAGTGGTCGTGGTCGCCAAGGATTCCTAGGGTCGCACTGTCGAAAACGAAACGACGTTTACGACAGTTTACGACCGTTCAGGTTGGACGTGTATTTCGATCATGTTTTCAAACCTCAAGAGGTCGACCGTCGACCTGAAAACCAGAAAAAATAACCGCAGATCTTTGGAGAGGAAAGACTGGACACTGGACACTTCATAGAACTGATCATTGATGTTGACCTGACCACTGGACACCAAATGGAAAGACAGGACACTTCCCAAAAAGCATGTCCCTTCCCGTCAGCTCTGGAAGCTCTGGAAGCCGCGGGAAGCCCGCCGCGGAAGCCGCCGCTGCGTCTTATCGTCCTTGGCGGACTTGGCTGCCAGCCCTTTGGAGAAGAGGCGCGGTGGGTGGAGCGAACGGACGAGGGACACGGAAGGGTGATGGGGTGACGTGGGGGTGCAGGACGTGGGGCGACTTGAATGATAGGTGAGAGACTTGATTTCTCATCCATAGTTTTGGGCCCACTGGTTTCTTTCTCAACACCAAATTCTGTGGGGATAGGATCTGCACTTGTTCACTACTTGCTGGAAGAGGGACTTGCTGACAGGTCTATCGATGACCTGATCCAGCTTGGCAAAGCCAGTCACAAGGCTCCTGTGGTGTCCGCTTGCATTGTTGCAAGGAAGAGTCCTGTTTGATTCTTTTTTTGCATATTGACAGAGAAGCAGTCCATGTTACTGGACCAAGGTCAAATTCATACAGGTAAGAAACATGGCCAGGAACAGCCCTGTTCAAGAATAGTCAAGCCCAGTGCATGCACAGCGTTTTGATTGGGCAAACTTGCGACTTCTTCTCAGACAGATTGAATGCCATAGATGAATATAAATATATGTGATATCGGATGAAATCGGATGCTTGTCAGTTTCTTTTCGATCGACATGCTGTAACTATCTCACACGTTTCTCATCTCACATGTCTCTGAAAATCTGAGGTGCCCATGTCTCCTTCGAATCCATGTCATCTCTCCAACAGTGTCATCTCTGCACAGTCATTTCTCCCATCTCTTGACAGAGCTTCAGATCCGCACGGCCAAGTCCTCTCCGGCCCAGGAGCGCGCCTTGCAATTGCATGAGACCCTCAAGGCGTTGGTTCGGGCGAAGCTAAATGAGGAACCATTCACCTTCGGATCTGGATGACACCCTGTCGGTTGCTTGATGGCTCTGAAGTCCTTGTAAAGAAGGAGGGGTTGGGTATGTTTGAGAGGTATCCTGTGCAGCTTTGCACGCTTTGCAAGTAGAGTTGGCCATGAGCAAGAATTCGGGCCATAGTTCAGAATTGGCAGCCAGTGGGTGGTTGCCTACGTTCCTTGAACAGCCCACCTGTGACGGGATGGCCTGTTACAGTCTAAAACAGTCTAACCTCTTCATCCTGATGTGCTTAGCTTCGACGTTCGATTGCAGGCTCGCTTGGGGAAGGAGGCAGCAACCCACATGCAGGTTCACCCCAACGTCGGTTCGACGTCGACCCAGGTAGGCCTGGCTCGCTGTGCCATGAGGCCGAACGGTGGCCGAACGGTGGACATTGGGTGGTTTGCAAGGGCTTTGCTACATCTATTTGCAAGGAGGAAACTCCAGGAAAAGAAAACTGAGGGCACTGAAGTGCCGGTGCCATCCCTCTTCAGAATATTGTATAATTGAGCATGAAGCCATGACACTGAAACGAACGGGAGAAGAGCGATGCGCTGCCTGACTCGAAAGGAAAACAAAGCTGTTGTGATGCCAGGCTCGCCAACCTGCCGCTGGGCTTTTGCCACGCACCAAGCATAAGACGTGTTTCGTCAACGCAACTTGGATTGCACCTGGAGCTTCAGGAAGGAGCACAACGATCATGTGTAGCCTGGTAGCCGGTAGAAACTTCGTCCAGGCAAAGTCGAAACTCACGCTCCCACATTCCGAGACACTCGAGAGGGTCTTCGTTTGGAGTTTTTGTACGAGTATCGAGACAGGTGTCCCGATTGGTTCTTCTTCAGTTCCACAGCTATAGTTGCTAGGTACGTCCAGAACTTCAAGCAGGCGTCGGCGTCTTTCCTTGGATCAGCGATCGCCGGCGTCGCAACCACGGAGGGGCCATCTTGCAGCTGCCAAAAGCTCGAGAGCCATCATCTTCCATACTCAGAAAACCTAAAAGCGATGGCCTGGAACCTAAGAGCGATGGCCTCCAACCCATTAGCAATGGCCTGCAACCCAGTTTGACTCACTTCTCTTGTCCGTTCTTCTCCAAACGGTTTGGGTCGGGAGTCTTTCCGGAGAGAACCTCTCCTCTTCGATCAGGTGATGGACTTCGAAGACAAACATGGTGTCGAGGGTCTCGCCAGCGAGGAGCGAGTCACCACACCGGGAGCGGTCAGCCGGTTTCGCTGCGCGATTCCAGGGACTGGACAGCGGACCTACGAACCTACGACACATTGGGAAGATCCTACATACGACACATTGGGTGTGGTGAAACACAGAAACAGAAAATGGCACTGAAATGAAAGAAACAGCCCCAGCCGGCGCAATTTCAGGAGTACCATGGCATCACGAATGGCATTTTCAATCAGCCTTGGGGCTCAGAGTTCTGCAGAGGCAGTTCTGACGAACCATGGGTCGCCAGAGGCTGCAACATCATGAATGTACATCGGGTAGAATTTGAATGAATTTGACACGTGTCTTCCAACATAGTTTCGCACTAAAGAGGCCACACTGACACTAACTTTGTTGCAAGGGCCAGGGCCAGCATCTGTGAGGCACCGTGGGACCATGCTGGATGTCGCAAAAGGTGTCTTCGAGTTCAATGAGGACGGGTTGCTGATCCACACTCCTGGCCACTTCCACTTGATGTTAACTGAGAATATCTGAAAACCGATGAACATTAAGACCCCCAATGGGGCCAGGGTCTGAGAGAATATGGCCTGCGGCCACCATGGGGAGTCTTAAGATGAAAACAGTATATAGGAATAGAAACACCCCGCGAATGAGCTGGATTCACCGAGAAGCACCCCGAGCCATGGCCCGGGGGTGTTCACCCAAGTCCGCCGCCGCCGACGGGCCGACGGGCGCGTCCGTCCGGCACGCCGTCGGGCCGGCGAGGACTTGAATCAGCTCTTTGGGCCAGACCTGGAGCTGGCGGAGCTGAGACATCTGCAGCTCATCCAGGTGACGCCGCTTTTTCGCTTTCGTTGAGAAAACGGGGACCCAGTCACTGAGGTGAGGTGAGGTGAGGGAGGCATGGTTTGGATCACGCGAAGAGCCGGGAGCACAGCGAAGAGCGCGCGAAAGCGGGAGAGCCTCACGAGGACATTGAAGAGTCTTTGGATGAGTTCTTCACGAACCGATTGACCTTACGCCTGATGATCTCGCATATCCAAGCGCTCAATGCCAACAAGACCATGAACAGCGACGGAGAGGCCGATGTGGGGAAAGGGCTTTTGCCCGATATTTGCAGCATCATGAATCATGAGGCTTAAAGATACCTTCCCACAGTGGTTGGTGAGAAGATGATGAAGATCAAGTACATGATAATGTATCATAATCATTATCTACCATAGTTAAGCTATTGTTTGATGTCCGTTGATGAAGTGTCCTCGAACCAATTCCTTCCTTGGCGTTGCCCTCAGGCCATGGTGGGTGTGGTGAATGTCAGCACTCATCCAATCACGATCCTCTCCAGGGCGTGACCGCTCTGATTTTTGCCAAAGTGCAAGCGGAACCAATGGATTTCCGGCGGTCGGTGTGAGTTGGTGCTGATTGAGAAAGTCCAATGTGGAGCCGGAATCGAAAGTTGGGGGATGGTTCTTTGACAGGGTCTTGCATGAGAAGGAGCAAGAAACGCAGGTACGTGGCCACACGCTTCATGTGCATGCGTGATTTTCAAACAGCCCAGCCCTCAGTGTTCACACCCTCAGGCGGTGACACCCTCGTACGATGACCTGGTTGAGTGTAGGCTCCTTGCATTTGGCCTTGGCAGTTTTAGTAACTTGGAACCAGTGGAAACCACTGGACAATCCAAGGACTGATCAGACTCGCCCAAGCTCACCTGCCAATCCTATCCAATCCTCCCGACCCTCCCAGACTCTCCGTTGGAACAAGATGTTCGTGGCAGATTCCGAATTGCCAGGTTCGAGCCCCCCCAACATCCAGCGAACTAGAGAACCGTCCTCATGTTTTTTTCGCTCATTTGTTGCGCTCTCCAATCTTCGACAGCCCTGACGGCCTTCTTGGGGGAGCTTCGTCGAACGTCTCATCACGCCTCAACGGCACCACGGCGGCGCATGAGGCGCCGGATCTCCTGGTGAATGGGACCATGCATGATGAGTATGTGCAGCAGGTGGGCAGAGGTCGACACCCGACTTCACTAGATGAGGGTCAGGAATCTGACCTAGTACGAGGAAATCTTAGAACAATCTATAGCAGGAACCAGTCATCGGGTTTAGCTGCGGGAAGGTTGCCTCTGGGCTGTGCCACCCGTTGAAGCCAAGCGGGTGGGTTGATGGCGACATCCAAAAAGTTCCCATGAACATGAGGGAAGACAGTTTTGAGTTTTGAGGGTGATTTGGTACCTTTAGCAAGAAGGTACTAGGTTGGAGGCCATCGCTACTAGTAGCAAGGTTTTTACAGGTGCAATTTTCTCATTTCAGCCTTTGAGCCTGAATGGCTGACTCCGTCCCTGAATGGCTTTCTCCTGTTCTGTGCCTCAATTGGGTCAGCGGGATTTTTGGGGGGGGTCCAAGGTCCAAGTAAAAGCCGTCCATTTGGTCGCTCGCCAAGAAATTGAAGACATGCTTGATGAATTCTGATGAAACACTGGTGCATCCGCAGCATTTGTATTGAGTTGGCTCGGTCAGAATGAGGGAGGACTTCCTTCTCTTATGGCTAAAGGCCATCAGGAGAAAGGGAGACGGACCTCGGTCTCCTCAGCCTATGGTGATCCCAGTCGGATACCCGGTGAGACCTGTGTGATCCAACCGGAGAGAAGCCGGCCCTTGTGGAGATGGGATGCGGTCTGTGGAATCTTGCTGATCGCTGTGGCCATTTGCACACCTTTTGAAGCTGGCTTTTTGGAGACGGAGACGTTGTCCTTCATGGGTGTTTTGAATATCATCACCAACGTCTTCTTCATGATGGACATGTTCATGCAGTTCTTCATCGCATACCCAATCGAGACCAGATATGGACCTCGTTGGGAATATCGGAAGAGACTCATCGCGCTACGCTACCTGAAAGGATGGTTCACGATCGACCTGTGCCAGCCTTAGTTCTTCGAAATCACCGTGGCAGGCACCGGGTGAAACAGTGAAAAGGGGCATCGCTACGAACGTAACAAGGGCATTACGACCAGTAGCAAATAGCTACGTTCGTAGCTTCTTGCTTCTAGTAGTAATGCTGTAATGCCCTTGTTACGAACGTAGCGATGCCCTTGTTGCTAGTAGTTGGCTGCTGCAAAAAAAATGTGTTTGTTTAGCAGTTTAGCAAGCATCCGAGCAGCAAAGTATACAAACCACATACACAGACATTCACCAGATCTAAGTTAAGAGGAACCCGGCAGAATGTTTCAACTCAAGAGTTGGAGGACTGCCTCACAAAGCTGCCTCACAAAGCTGCCTCACATTGCGGCCTTCCAGCTTCCGTATCCCCCCTTGTGTGCGTATGTAAACCAGGGTGCGACGCTCCGGGACGCCTGTGGGTGGTACATGAGCATTTTTGAGAACAGTGGGGAGGACACTTCGAAGTGTAGGGCCCCAAAAGTATAGGGCACTTCGAAGTGTCGGCATGTGTTTTCTGCTGTTTCCCCATTCCATTTGCTCAAGACAAACAATGCGGATGATGACAGGATGTAAGAGAGATGAACCAGTGCGAATTAGATGTTGAAAAACAAACGTCTAGGTTTGTAGCAACGTCCAGCGGCAGGAGCCAGAACGGACCTTGCCGTGAGAAGTCAACGAGACAAGGGTCCAAGAGGTTGCTGTTGAGGAAACACATTGCTGTTGAGGTATGTTGAGGCAAAAAAAGTCAACAGTTAAAAAAAAGACCAGACAGGATCAGAGGGAGTGACACACACACACACACACACGCAACAAAATCACACACGAAAGAGAAAGCAAAGCGTCAACAGAGACTCATGGAAAATGCAATGAGCCAAAATGGGTATTTCAACGAATGTCAAGTGCCGGATCCGAATAGACATGGTACGAAAGCCAGAGGTGCGTCTTCAGGTCTATATGTGTTTTCGCCTGGTTGGTCTTGCAACACCACACGAAATTACCCCTCACCCCACCCATTCCCCGCCCCAAAAGACCCCACCCATATGCTGGAATGACTTTCAATGGTCATATGTCGGCCACAGGCGCCTCACTAGGTGTTGACAACAACTACCCACATGTGTACGTGAACGTAGCAGAATAGGGAGAAAGAATTATGATGAATATATGGCTGTGTAGCAGAATAGGGAGACACCAGACGAAAACGAAACCAGTTGTGAAGGTTCCCTATTCGGGTGGTGTTCCAACTTTGAAATCAGCCTGTTCTTCTATATCCCGACAACGCGAAGCTTGCACCCGAAGATTGCTCATAGATGTTTCAAGCATCTCCAATCGAAGGGGTGTGAAATCAGATCCGTTCTCCACCCTTGGTCGACTGTTCCATGGATTTTGAAAGTGTTCAGCTCTCAAGATGAGCTGCTCAAACCAATGGACCCAACAATTCTGAGGGCCAGCACTTTGCCATTGGACTTCCTCTCACCTGGCTCTGGCCTTGGCCTTTTGCGCACCATTCGTATGCTTAGGTGGGCCCAAAGATTCAAAGATGGGGGGGGTTGCACGTTGCACAATTGTTAAGTCATGTTAAAATTCACATGCTCCCCAGCCCCCACAACTTTCATCAACTTTCCAACCACCCTGTCAATGCTAAGTGGGTTTCGAGATTTGTCAGTTGCTCTTTCTCAGCGGTTGCAGATTAAGATAGACTGACCAGAATCTCAATGGCTGCAGCAGACTTGCCGCCACCCACTGGTCTGCAGACTCTTGACCACTCTTGGTTCTTTCAGAGTTGCCAAACAATTCCACAAAGACCTTGCATTTCAAGTGGCACTTCAACGGTTGATCAACTTCATTTTTGTTTGCAAGTTGATAACCGCACCCCAGTGTGGTGTGAAGAGAAAGCGGGCAGGTTGCTGAAGCTCTTGCGGTTGGCACGAGGCTGGCGGTCACCAGATATGGAACAAACATACAAAGCCGATCAAACAGAGGCAGGTACACTCCATTTGGTAGAAGACTCTTTCATCCTCTAGCCCACCACTTCCTGAATGATTTTCACCAGTGCGATCTGGATAGTGCATAGATTTGCTCAGATTTGCTCAGATTGACTCGACAGATATGCGACTGACTGAACTTTGAACTTTGCCTTGAGTTTCGGGCCTCAAAACATCAATTCTGTAGGTGTAGGATGCGCAAGATTGCAATAAATCACTGTTCTCTAAATATAGAAATCACAGTTCTGAGTTGCACTGATCCAGAGCTGACCACCGATGACCCCTTTTTGGTTCACGAGCCCGCAGGCATCCGTGTGGTTCGGCGATATCAAGCGGAAGTGGGACTTTCCTACCGCAAGTTCACGCTGTATTTGCTTTTCTTCGCCGTTTTGGCGGTCTCACACTGGTTGGCCTGCACACTGGGTGTCATCCACAAGTTTCAGATCGAGATCCTTGGATCGATCAGAGAGGCTGTTTCGATCGAGTCCGGTGTTTGGTCGATTTCCCGTGTCCCAAAAGGAGAGGGACTGCACGGACGTCCCAAAGAAGACCCGACTGCATTCGAAGAACCTGGTGACTCCTTGACCGATTGAACTCGATGAACACATAACAGGTGGATGTTGAAGGGTTTTCAAGAAGGTACGTAGAGATGCTGCGGGGAAGCCGTGGTGCAGGGGTACGGAAGAGGCTTTGGGCTCAAGGGCCCTCTCTATCGCTAGTAATTTTCCTTTTTCCTTTCAACTTTAAATTCTATCAATCACCGTTTTGTGTTTTCGGAGCAAGGAGTTACCAAGACATGTCTTGCGATGCTTTGTGTCCAAACGAACGGCTCCACCCAGAAAGACAGCACGGCCATGCATGGCCCAGGGGCGAGATTTGCAGCAACTCTGACATGTACGCTGGCCGTCCAGATTGCTCCACTTCTTGGATGACGGAAGCCTTCAGACATCATGCCAATGCCGAATGGGATGACAGTGAAACTTGATTGAACAAAATGAATTGAACATTGCCAAGTCAAGTTAGTGGCCAACAGCTAAATGGATTGAGCTGCTGTTTGACGATGTTTGACTAGTCCGAAAACCATGTCAAGTCCAAGACTAGGTCCCTGTGGCTGACCATGTCTTGACCGACTCAGCCAGGGGAGTCCACTGAGGAGACTCCACAGATTGATGTCTTCGACGCCTATGTGATGGCCTTCTATACGGGCATCACCATCTTGGTGCACCCTCATGCATATGATGCAATCAACACTGCAGAGCGTCTTTAGGATTTTGTTTATGTACTGTATTTTGTCTTGTTGTGGGTTTTCTGGAAGTCACCCCAAAAATTATATAGTGGTGACCTTGAACCTAACAGAATAGACTTGGAGTTCTTGGCTGACCCCTTTTCACCACCTAGCAGGCATTGAGGCTGCAACGCCCAAGGCTGAAGCCTGTAGTTGTTTGTGGATCCTAATCCTATCCATCCTACAAACTGGCGCAGAAAGGAGACGTATTCATGCCAGCACTGAGGTCTCCTGTTCACGATCTTGCTGCTGATCGGTGGCTTTATGTGGACCCAAGTGATCTCGCGTTCGACAGCAATCGCTTCGTCCCTGAATGCTCACCAGTTGGCACATCAGCAGACCATGGACGACCTCAACAACATCGCTGACAGGCGAGACATACTTTGGGCGACCTGAAGGAAGGGCCCCAAAGTCGTCGCTCCTCCAGTGTTGTCATGAAGCCCTTTTCGGTTCTTCGCTATAGGTTGGAGGCCATCGCTATTAGGTTGGAGGCCATCGCTATTAGGTAAGACAAGGACACAAGGAAGACGACAAGGATGTATTTGGTCGACACCATGCTTGAGTCTCATTTTTGTTTCATTTTGACCAACTGCCCGGACATGGAGATTCATGCCATATTTCATGGCCTCTTCCTGAAATTGATTCGAAGTGTTGCGGGACTGCATGTTCACGCAGGTGGGGGGGGTTGATTTTAAACGTAACTAACGCATGTTCACGCAAAGAACTGCCCAATGGGGCCTGTGTCGCGACCGCTTGCTCGGGAACCTAGGGACTGAAGGTATCGGAAGAAGCGTCC